CATATTTTTTCAATCGTATGATTTCGTTGCTAGCGGAGAATTTATTTTTATGCTCTCGAAAACCTGCTCCGATATCGAATATCTTATTATTCAATTGTATAGGTATTAATCACAAGAATATAGCACGCTACCTTTTACATAAATACTACCTATAAATAGGCACGATTGACAAACCTAATACTTTGTAGCTATTTGCACAAATTGTTACCGGAGTTTACAAGTTCTGTAAATGAGAATAAGTTGAGAGAAAATTTATTGGCAGTTGTTTACTGATTTTTGAAAAATTCTTACTGGCAAAATTTAGAAATGTGTAAGAATATTATATAAATAAATATATATATATATATATATGACCGTATATGGCGAAAATACGTTTGCTACTTTTAATAAGTGACGTTTGCTACTTTTATTACATTTTATTCAGGGGCAAATTATGACAGTCTATATCGGGTGAGTTCTCTTTCAATGGGTTCATACTAATTCCGATCGGTATTATTGGAAGTAACCGGTAAACGATGGTAGACACTAATGTTCTGGCGGTCATTTGAACAACGTTTTAAGCCCTCACAACTTCGTGCATGAATTAACCCATTCATACATCACTATTCTTAATTCATGTCATCAGAGTTTATTTTCCCAAACTTTTTGTTTCTTTTTTTATACTAAATTTCAACTTAATTATGTATCAATTACCTTTTCAACTAAATAGACAAAATAATTATCTTTCTCCTGACTAGAGTAAGGGGTCCTTAAAAACTCCGCACAATGATCGCGAAGTGCAACGCACATAAACGTCAAGCGTCGATGTTATCGTCTACTTGTGGTAACAAAACGCAACATCGAGCTGATTTATCAATGCACTCAATATTACGATTTTCTGCAGATCCTATACTACATCGAGACAATTGCAAATACTATCCTAGGTTTCAGAATACAAGTACCAAATGAGAGCAGTTTAATATATAAAAAATTGCTAAACCTGAATTAAACTGTAAACTTGAACAATTGTAAACATCTGATTGGCAATTGTATATCATTTTAATTCGGGTGTAAACATACTGATCATAACAACGGAATGTACCTTTGTAATTGTGCCATGCATTACCGTAGCCATTAGGCCTATTGGGCTAAAATACTTTTGTGTTCCTTTTATGTTATTCACATCCCAACGGCTATCGGCCAGGCTAACTGTGTACGTATGTACATATATACGCAGTTGATCAGGTGCACAAAAGAACCAGTTATTTGCACGACAACATTTGGTTTATTTGCTAGTGACGCACGATTGATTGTAACCATCGGCATGCCTGCTATTAAACTAGCTGTATACAGATGGAGTATAAATACATACAAATACATGTGTACGAGTGTATGCATCTACAATAGGGTTATGAGGTTTATTTTGCAACCTCATATACGATCATATACAAATTTAAGAATTAGGTGATTCTATAATAAACCTCACGCCCAAAATCATTTGAACATCATTTAAGACTTTTGTCCGTATTGGGTTTGTGTGATTAAAAAAAAACTTTTTTCACAAAAAACATAATTTCAAAGTGTATTTTGCGTGACCTTTTTAAATTATTAAATTGAATTAACTTTACTTAATTCATAAATATACAAATGCTCATTTATTACTACAATTTAAAATCTTTTAAAAAAGTCATAACCCTAATGTGCATAACATACATACATATGTGTTCGCGCTGAATGAAATACACTGCAACCAAAGCGGCGGCTATAACGCTAGCTCCAACTCCATAATAATAATTTCCAAGATATCCGTATTTGGTAACATCGACATCCCATATGGGGCTTCGTTTGTACATATGTATTACGTTTGCATGTACACTATTTTGGTTAATGGCGAGCGCTTAGTCGCCTTTCAAGTTTTTAATATTTCCAATTGAGGTACCTTCGAGTGCTAAAGTTTATAGAATTCGACTCCCCGTATTTAATTTTGCGTGTCTCCGAAATACATACAATTATATTTCAAGTCCGGTAACAATTACTAAATCTGCATATTAATTTTTTGAACTTAAGGCTATTGCTATCAGTTTGGACTGATATTTTATTTATCGAAATGTAAGTCAAAATGTCATTCAAAAGAATTGGTGTGTACATCGCTTTAACTAATTTTAACGGAAATCGAAGCACAATATGTATTTGAACGTAGGCGAAACATTTTCTTTAAGTTGCTTCAAGTTTCGTTTGATGAACCTGACCTGAGTTTGCTATATCCGCAGTTCGATATAAGAGTAAACATTTTTATGAGCAACATTTCTTAAAATTTCAGGACCGTGAAATGTGTTTGCTATAACCGGTGTTGGTTAAAAGCGCACTCGACTGTATACATATTAATGCAATCCCAACAATATGAAAAAAAATGTACTTCTCTTACCCTCTCTTCTGTACACCCATACAATTACTATACAAAATCCAGTTTTATTCATTGGCTTCAGCTGACGGTATGCAGTATGTCCCAATTTAGAAGTGTGTCAGCCAGTGGCCTCTCCTTAAGCCGGCAACACAGCTCTCTCATAGTTAAAGGAAGTTGGAATTTGGTGCTATTGCAGATTCTCTCCGCAAACACAGTTAATGTGATGGCATTGATATTGAATGCGCTTTGAAAAACTAGTTTTCGAATATCGCATCATTATATGTGTCAATACAGTGACACAAATGTGTCTATTCAAGTCATAGATACACATTACAAATATACTGCGGATGAGAAGTTTTTTCGCAAGCACGCTTTATCACAATTCTTTGAGTAGTTGCTATTTGAAAATATTTCCGAACAATAGTTGACCGATTCTTATTGAATTAGTCGAAATAGGTTCAGTTTGTCAAGTAAATTTTTACAACAAAACAAACATTAACTTGTTATTAATCGCTGATTTCCGGAAATGTCTCTTCCCAATGAAATGTTCCCACTTTATCTGTTCTTCTCCCACGTCAAACATTATCGGGTGACAGTAAAGATTCTGATTAGGTCGTGTTACCCATAGGGATACGTAAACGAGAGCAAAAGTCGACATTTCGACTTTTCGATTTTTACCTCTGAGTAAAAAATCGACTTTTCGATCTTTCGATTTAGTCAAAACTGTTCAAAATCGACTTTTACCGACTAATGCAAAATTAAGTGCTCACACTATTTCTGTTCTACTCACACGTCACCTATTTTGGCAAAAAAGATTATGATTAGGTCGTGTTACCCATTGTCGGATGACTGCTTTGCAAATTGAAATATGTATTTCTTTCTGGGAACAACTCTAGTTTAGTAAAAACGATCAGATTTTTCTGAAATTTACGGATCCAGTTAATATAATATGGGTATCATTTTAAAGGTTATAAAAATACCTTTCCATTGAGTGGTAATATGATGGAGATATAGTCAAAAAACTGGGTTTTTGTCCCCGATTTTTTTGAAAAACTCCCTAAAAGTCGAACTTGGGCCCATTATAGTCCCTCTGCATCCCAGACTCAAGTCGTAGACCACGATTTGCCCTTTCCAAAATGGTGCGATATTTGGCTGTATCTATTGTGGATCAAAAGATATAGGCCTTAGAACCCTATAAAAACAAGGAAAATCTTTCTACATGACAGAATCTCCTTTTAAATAGCATGGTGTTTTTGGGTGACCGGCCTTCGGCCGGCGATTTGAGACTTTCTCCTAAGGACAGATGCCAACACCGGCTACGCGACAGAAACTCCTTCTAAATAGAACATTTTTTTGTGTAGCCGGCCTTCGGCCGGTTATTTAAGACTTTCTCCTATGGACAGATACCAACACCGGCTACGCGACAGAACTTCCTTGTTTTTGTAGGGTTCTAAGGCCCATATCATTTGATCCACAACAGATACAGCCACATTTCGCACCATTTTGAAAAAGGCAAATTGTGGTCTATCATTTGAGACTGGGTTGGAGAGGGACTATAATGGACCCAAGTTCGACTTTTAGGGAGTTTTTCAAAAAAATCGGGGACCAAAACCCAGTTTTTTGGCTATATCTCCAAAATGAGATAACCCCATCGTATTATCACTCAATGGAAAGGTATTTTTAAAACCTTTAAAATGATACCCATATTATATTAACCGGATCGGTAGAACCAGATATAACCGGGTACCCGTACCCGAACTTCCGGGTCAAATAACCGGGTACGTCCCCCCAAAAAAAGATATTCCCATAATTAGGGTAAAAATACCTATCTCTGAAAAAAATTTCAGAAAAATCTGATCGTTTTTACTAAACTAGAGTTAAGCCTCTTTCTGTTTAACAATGTGCTTCGCTAAGGAAATAACAACATTATTGTTGAATAATAATTTATATGGATATAAACTTAAATGTGTAATAAAATGTTATTTTACAGTATTATTCTTAATATACTATGAAAAAATAGCAGTGGGAAAAGTATGGAAAAAGTATTCTCTGGGGAGAATATCCCTGAGGATCCCTGATGAGGATCAGTGGCGAGATCCGAAACTATAGTCTTCCCTGCTTTACCCCCTGGTGGACAATGTCACACTTTCCCATAAATAACAGTGAAAGATATCCGCTTAATATGTGTCGGTTTCTCGTGGCAAGAATGATATTTCTATGTTAATGCAAGTGTCAGATACTAGGTAATTAGGTGTACGTATTTACTTTTTCATTAAAAATTACTCAGTAACTTCTGCTCAAAGAATGGAAAACGTCTCGCAGAATTCGATACACAAATTCAATTTCAATAAATATTTTTTTAGTTTTTTCATCACTAATGTGACTCTAAAAAGCCTAAAACGGCATATACATTAGAACTTTTTACCGGTACAATTTTTACTACAATAACAAGTTTTGACCGTTAACATCGATAAAAATAGTAAAATGTAGTAGATTCTTGCAGCTCGGGAAAAGACCAAAAAATGTTCAAACATTAACACATAATACACAATTTACAAAAAAAGTCAAATAAAAATAATGTGCAATTGCCTTATTTTACAGCGAATGATATTCAACGATGCTCTTGCCTTCTGGGCGTTCGAATGGCGACGTTCATGCATCCACAATTAATACCAAACAATCGAACAATTCCTTACTAACAAGAACTCCATTAACACAAGGCAACATTAATTTGGACAAGAAAACGGAAAATGTTGGCATTCATCTATCGGCGACGACATCAGCAGTACCGAACACAGACCCTTCGCAAGTCAGGCACATTTCTCTATCCGCTCCTACTTCAACACTTTCGACTCCAGCATCACATTCACCGCAAACACACGGCACATCTACACCTACCGTTGGTGCTATGTTGCACTGTAATTCTCCCGGAAGTCAGAGTGAAACAGGAACAACAACATCTGGCCGCTGCACGGACGGACCGAAAACGGCATTCGTAACCAATGGGAATGTTAGTGCCAGTGTAGGAGCATTGTCAGCCACAAGTCCAGCCATAATCGGCACTTGGACTGAAATAGACCGTCATCTGGAAACCTTGCAGGCTACTCTTAAACATGGCTGGACTGCACATTTGGGCAAGGACGGTCGACTCTATTATTGCAAGTGAGTAGTCACAGTCAATTTTATCTGCCCTCCTGCACAAACTTATAAATCATCCAAGTAAGAAACACAAATTGCGCTAAAACTATTTCCTAAATGCATCTAAAATGTCAGAGGTCGGTCAGAGAAAACATTTTCTGCATTCATAGATGTTTGAGATACCTAAACGGTACAGCAGACGTCGCAACAGATACCTGTCTTTGGTAGAACAAAAAAACTATGGTTCTATGTGCTTCGTAGATATGTTAAGTCATATTTTGCTGTGCCCTTGGGTAAGCAATCAGTCAACAACATTGGATTAATTTCATAGACCGAGCGAACAATGCTCAAACCCAATTACACCTAATTGATTTAAGTCATTTTCCACTTAGTTGAGGGCGACGAAGCGACAAAACTAGCTCGTTGTAAATAAAAATTGCAATTGAATTAATTATCCACTTCATTGACAAGCAGCAGGTAATCAGCGACACCAGTCCAGTGCTTATATGGCATGTGCAGACTTATTTATGTTGGATGCACAATCATCCCTTGGCCGGCCCAAGATATGATGCATTCATTCATCCATCGTTAACGAACACAAATCAATAGAAACACATGAATGTAAACCTTGTGCACGTTGGATGATTGAAACCACTGCGGTAGTAGAATAGTTGCGCCCATATAGAATATGTATGTAGTTAGCCTTCTCAGTATTGCCCTTCTTGTTAAAAAACTGACTCGAGCAAATAAAATTAACTGTTTCCATCATCTAGCCATGTAACACAGACAGCGGGCTGGCTGCCATCGTGTGAGGATTGGAGTAAAAGCGAGAAACTCCCCTATGGCTGGGAGAGAGCTATTGATTCAAGGGGCCGAACATATTTTATAAAGTAAGTTCGAAATTATAATACATCTCCGTTTGAGTCCAATATATATGAATGTTGAAATATTGTCGTGGTTGTCGTTATTTCTATAGTCACTTGAACAAGACCTCGACGTATGAATCGCCAGAATGCATAAACTGGGATGAGAAGCCACCGGAACCAAGAGTGGTCGTTCTGCAAAGGAGTCCCACTATGGGCTTTGGGTTTGTTGCTGGCAGCGAACGGCCTGTGATTGTTCGTTTTGTCACGGAGGATGGTCCGAGTATGAATAAACTCCAACCTGGCGATCACATTCTTGCTGTTAACGGAGAAGATGTCATGGACGCACCTAGGGATCGGGTAATACAATTGGTGAGGGCTTGTGATGCTCAGGTGACCCTCTTGGTATGCCAACCTGTACCGAACAGAACACCTGGTAGAAAATCGACCTTGCTGTCGGCCGGCAAAAAGGCCAAGCTCAAGTCAAGACCCAGTCGAGTTCGTTTCGCTGAAAGCGTGTGTGTGAATGGCGCTCCCTTATTTCCGGTAGACACCAAACTAATCCTCATGTTTCTTAATAGATTCAATGTCCATGTTCTTTATTGTTCTAGCCATCTGCATTTTCGCTAGGTGACATTTGCGTTCCACCAATGGCAAATGTTTTAAAGGTTTTCCTAGAAAATGGACAGACTAAATCATTTAAATATGACGCTACCACCACAGTACAGGTAAATGCCACATTTTAATTTTATCCCTATATATTTTTGATAGTCAATGATTCTTGGACATGAACAGGACGTGGTCACCTCGCTGTTGGACAAATTATGTTTCACTTCGGGAGAAATTTTTAGTCTCGTCTTGGAACACGTTAAAAGCCTAAAGCGCAACAAACTCACTCTGCTTGATCCGGAAGAATCCCTAGCAAAAATTGCCTCAAGGCCGGGTGCCCACAAATTGCGCTGTCTTTTTCGAGTGACATTTGTACCCATGTCGGCAGCCGATTTAGCTCAAAAGGATCTCAACGCCCTTGATTACTTGTACATGCAATGTTGTAACGATGTTTCCCAGGAGAGATTTGCTCCCGAGCTGCAGCCCGATGTCGCTTTGCGTTTGGCTGCCCTACACATGCACCAGCATGCCCTGGCCAATGGCGTGCATCCATCCAAATTGACGGTTAAAGTCGTAGAGTAAGTGAAAGAGAATTGTATTCTTCCTCACGTCCTAATACGCTATCCGTTTTCAAAAAAACCATAGGCGAGAGTTCGGACTAGAAAGATTTTTGCCTGCTACATTGTCCGAAGGTATGAAACGAAAGGAATTGAGGCGATTGATATCACATTTCCTTAAAATGAATGCCGAGATGACGGGATCGTCGGGCAAAGTATTAACACAGCTGCAGGTAAGTAACATATGGTAATGCTACTCCGAACACTATTGACATTATACCACCTTTTGTCTCCTTAAGGCCAAATTGCACTACTTGGATATAATAGCCAGCTTGCCTAGTTACGGAGCAAAGTGTTTTAGCACCAACCAACGGGAAGGAGTGGAAAGGGTACTCCTTGTAAGTCCCAGGTTTGGCCTAAGTCAGATATCAAGTGCCAGAAATTCGGTTGTAAGTTTCTATCAATAAAAACGAAGCCGATTCCTAATTAGAACATTCTTCTGTAGCCCCAAGCAATATCATCCATTGAAGACTTCAGCCACGTCGTTGTTGTTAGAGAAGACGATGTAACTTGCAGTGTAAGTGTCTATATGCAAGGCGATCGCTTTGTAAAATTTTTTATGGAGGACCGAGATGCTTGCGAATTTTCCCTATGTCTGGCCGGCTATTACAGACTAATGTCAGGTAAGCGTGTTTTGTACACGACCCGCCTCAGTTCACTAATTCAATCGATTTCTTCATTTAAGGTAAACCTCTTCCAGTCTCGCGAGAACGAGAACCAGAGGATGAGGATAATGCCCCATCGTATTTGGCCCAGCACACTGTTGTACCCGCATCATGGAGTTATCTAGCGCCTTTTCACAGTAGAGCTCATAGCATGAGCTTTATTGTTCCACCTCCTTATCACCCTAGCAAAGTCCATGTAGAAGGCGATGCCAACACAATGGGTGAAGGAGCATCCACCGATGTTCTGACCAACACAAACCATATGTCAGTCGTGAACTCTCCTGCCAACATGTCATTATTGTCAACAACAGCAATGGATGTTGACATTCACAGTGTCATGGCCACGGAGTTATTGGAGGAAGCCAAAGATTCGGGAATGAGCGATAGCAGCGGTGGCGGCAGTAACTGTGGCGACCGTTCTCAATCCAAAAATGAGGAAGTTCTTAGACGTGTACAAGAAATGCAGAAAATGGTTGAAAACTCAGAACAGTATTTGAACGAACAGGACGAGCTAGGGCATGACTTTAGCAGATCTGCTTCCACAAACACTGCATACAACGCTTCATGGCAAAGCTCAACTATTGGCCTGAATAGTGGGTCCGTAAATGCAACGGGTGTGATCGAATTTGACAGCGACTGTGACAGTTTAAATAGCAGTAAGTTGTCCTCCAATGAAGAAACTCCCCCGCAACAAGGTTCTCTGAAACATAGCGACTCCTTAGTGTTATTGGCTGAAACAATCAACCATGACTTGACGGGCATTACACAAGGCCTCATTTCCATCGGGGAGAAGCCCGCGGAAATAAGGCGAAAGAAACCCACACTTTCAGATACATCCAGTCCCAGGCCGGAGCGAAAAGTTAATGGCTTCAGTCAATTACTAAGTAATTTGCAAGCACTAGGAGATTTTTCACAAAGTGAGAGTGACTCAGAGTCTATCGCTTCTCCCACAAATTCCCCCACAGCACGAAGGCCATCGTTGCTCAACACCAATGGCAAGTCGTATCATAAACAAAATCTAGCATACCGCTCAAGTTTTGGCTTGCATAGCCCAGATAGCAATAATTTTGGACTGGAAACAAAGGACTATAATCTCAAGGAGTATTTGAAACAACTAAAGGAAATAAGCAATGTTGATAATGAGAATCAAGACACTGACACAGCAGCTAAAAAACTATCCGAGATATATGGTTTCGAAATAAGAGAAGACACTTTTATTGAGACAGATAGTGATTTGATTGATCTCCGTGCCATACCTCCACCGCAGACGCCGGACGAACTTGATGCACTGTCCTTGCTAAATGCAGCACCAAAAGGCTTTGGTGATTTTAGTAAAAAAGCATTGTCTGATATAGGCGACCAAGATTTAGATACATTTTTAGAGAAGGTTGTAGTAGCACCCCCAACTCATAAGGCCACACCAGCAAAAGAATTAACCCCGGAAGAAATAATGTCATTCATTATACCACCACCCCCTAATCTGGATGAAACGGAAAAACCGTTGGATAACAACGTTACTATTCCCGCTGAAAGTCTATACAGTAATTCATCGTGTTTGAAGAGGAATGAACGGTCAATATCACCTCCGAATATTGTGGAGGATAATAAGGGCCATGTTATTGAATATGCCACCGTGGAAAGAAAGAGTAAATTTTCCTGTTGCCCAAAGTCGAAAAAAGACGACGCCGGCAACACCAGCGACGAGAATACAGTAAAACTGAAATTGCCTCCGAGATCGCAGTCACTTGACCAAGCAGCACCTGCAAGACCACCAAAGAGCGTGGAACTCTTACAACGTTTTTCACCAAAGAAGATATCATCTTCTCCATCCCCAGTGCCTGAACGAAGCGGGCATCAGTCCCACGTGCCCGAAGAATCCCCACCTCTGCTGCCACCACGCACAATTGTAAACAACATTCGCCCCAATGCACATGAGGAACGCGAAGGTGACCGAACTCTTATGTCACCTATGGTGAGTCCCTTGGCCCCAAAAAAACCCCCATTGCCTCCAATAGCTACGAGACCAACCCTAAGGAAGAGTCCTTTACCTACGAATCACCATGGTGCCATTGACGTGAAAACATCCGCGCATCCTCTACCAATACCACATCAAAGCAGGAACTACCACCCCTCATCCAACAATTCCACCGTGCATAGTCCTCTAGTATTGTCATCTCAAAGTTCATTCACATTATCAAGTCAGCATCTAAACCACCAGTATTCGCCAACAAGCCGAGAACAGCGACCAGCACAGCCATCGCCTTATCCACTCTTGAATTCCCCCCAATCGAGTAGAAAAAATAACAATGGCAGCCCGCTAAGCCACATGCATACAACGCTATCACGACCCATTCCAACAACCGGTACTAAGCTGATCATAAAAAACGGTCATGTAATTGACGCCGAAGCATTGCTGGCCAAGACAGATGTTGCTATGGCGGGGCTATTAGTGAAGCTGGATCAAGTAGCTGCCCAATGTACGGCGGCCCAGGCCGCAGGTGGTGGGTCGAGCATAGATGAGGAGAAATTCCAAAGAGCTCGCAACGAATTAACAGAGCAAACATTAGTCTTAGTAACCGCCTCAAAATATCTGGTCGTAGCTATGTCAGACTCTACACTTTCGACGACATTACCAGAACACTTAACCTCCTGTCTTACAGCAATACGCAGAATAACCGAATTGACGCAGGACATGACACGACATACATCTGCACCACTCCAAACAAGAAACATTGTCCTGAAAGTGCACGATGTCGAATCAAGTTTCCGTGAACTGGTTGGTGTGCAAATGGGCAATGCAGGGCAATTGGCACTGCAAGCGGAATGCTTGGCCAATGTCCTGGCAACTCTGCTGCGCAGTCTTAGGGTATTCTCTCCTTAGAGCCCCCTCCTCAACCAAGACCCCATTGCCACCCTTCCCACATATCATCTACCACTCTTGATGTAAACTATTTATAACTTCAACTACTTATTCTTACTTTGTTACAGGTCAGAAAGTAGCGTGTCCGCTCATTTTCTAAATCCTAAATAGTAGATATGACATCTTCTTCTCACCAAAATGCATATACACGTGCTTAGATTACAAATCATATTAATCGAAAATACGGCTCAAGCTATTTACACTTATTAATCTACTAACCCGAATCAATAATCTCCTAAGGAATTGTCTATCTCTAGGGAATGGAGTGTTTTTCGTTAGTGAATATTCGTTAAAATATTCCCATTTTGCATGGCATCTAGTTGACTCGTTTTAATTTAATTTACATACATATTTAATATACAATAATATAATAAAATGAAATTGAAACCAACCATTGACCAACCAATAATCAAAATTTTGACTTGTGATAATGAATCTAGTTTCATATGGGAACATTATGAAACCATTTATTAAATCTATATGGAATCTCGCTCGCACCCACATAAGCACATTTGTATCTGCAACTGTCCCAATGTCGAACCCATTCAACGTTTTCCATTACATCCTAGTATTTCATTTGTAATTTAAGGAATTGCCATCCGAAGGAGCAATTGTTTATAATGTGCGATTATATCTCTGTTAAAGTTTGAATATTTACACAATTCGCTTTTATATTGACAATTTGTTATATCGTTTTAGTTTAAATATATTATGATAATTTTGTTTTACTTTGTGCAGCCCCAAACTATTGTTTGGAGTTGAAAGGTATCGATATCACTCACACGCTCAAGAAAATCCGAATGTTTACTTTTTAAATAATTATAATAAGTTTCATAAAAAGCCATATCAGCTAATGATACATATATTACAGGCAATGCAGACATATACACCCCACATACATATATATAGTTAAAATTCTAGTATTTAAATTATTCTACTATAAAAACCAATATTGAAATAACGTAACCCAGTTATTCATAAACCAAAAATTAATACACTTAAATAGTAACCTTTCATCAAATATTAAATATTGTATTTAACAAATTACGATTAAGCGAAAAAATACAAAATATGAATTTAACCTTAACCCCAATTGACGGCTTGTGCTTTGGCCGACAAAACCAGAATATTAAAATAAAATCAAAAATAAATAAATTCAAGCTCAGATTACTGAGTATCCATTTATGAGTTGTGTTTTAATGAAATTTGGTACGATTTGTTGGCTTCATCACATACTTATCCATTTTTTATACCCTCAGCCTTATCCCCCACAAAATGTTCAAAATTGTGCTGAAAATTAATTTTATAATAACATGCAAACGGACTATCCGATTTGAACCCAATTTTGCACAACCTTCTATTCTTTACCAAGAATAGAACAAGTTTGAAGATGGGACCCATTGATCCACTCCTTCTGGTACCTCCACCACAAAGGGTCAACATTTTCAATATTTATAAATTCAATATCAGGCGAATGGAATGCCCGATCTGAACTAAGCGTTGCACAATCTGCTATCTTTTCAAAGTCTAGATCAAGTCCGAAGATGGGACCATGGTCAACATTTGCAATATTTATAAGTCCAATATTAGGCGCATTAAATGTTCGATTTGAAACAAATTTTGCACAAAATATTATCTTTACCAAACCCAGATCAAGTCTGAATGTGAGACCCGTCTGCCCTCTGGTACATCCTACAAAAAAGGGTCAATATTATATATCAACATAAAATCCGAAACATCTGTAATTAAACATATACCTTATATAAAATGAATAACAAAACCTGTGTATAACTTCGAAGACTTCCTCCACAAACCAAGGGTGAAAATATACATATGGGCAATATTGCCAATTTTTTAATATTCCATTTTCAAAAAACCAGCTTTTTTTGTTTTTGTGGCACATCAATGAATTTTGGTACACATATACAGAAAAATGTTCTGACTCCGAAACCGTTCGCAATCAAATTTTTGGTTGATGCGCGCAAAAGTTATCGAGGTTTTAATTTTGGGCATAAGAAAAAAATCTTAAAATTACGCCGTTTATTATATTGACCAAAACGTTGATATAGATCTTCCTCCTTAAAATAAGAATATGAATATATTATAATAATCGCGATAAAGTTGCACATCTTCGCGAAATATGAGAAAAATAAAAAAGAATTAGCAGATTACATCAATATTTTCATTATATTAATATTAATACACACACCTAAAAATTAATTTAAAAATATCTACATAATCTAAACACCATGATGAATCGAATGATATCAAAATCACACAAGTCCGTGTAGCGGTTTGTAAATTACAGCGACAACAAAACAAGATATTGAGGAAAATTATTTGTTTTTGGTTCGAAAAAATAATGCCATCATATTTATTTTTTTAATTGGTCTGTTCCCGTACTGCAAGAATCTACAAGATTTTACTATTTTCTTCGAATTTTCGTTATCGTAGTAAAAAGTAGTAGATTCTTGCAGTACGGGAACAGACTAAATTTTATACCAGAAATTTCAGAAAAAATGTTGGGGTTATTCTGCTATTTTACCCGAATTACGCCGAAAAATTGATATATATAGTAATCACTTTTTGTGTATAAGTATACGCCCTGCGGATTATATCAAGACCCTTCCGATAAATCTTAGGGTTCTATAAATAGGAATACATCTTAAAATAAAATAATATTATGAAATATACATTTTAAATTGCGTCTACATCACGTAATTCTCAAAATCATTTGATGTGCAATCCATATATATTTTGCGAAATTTCATTTGACGGCTAAGATGTGCCACACGTTGCATTGAAGTACCCAAAGAATCGTAAAAAGCGAATAAATTCCGAAAACTCCGGAAATGATCCACAGAAAACGCAAATAAATCCGTGATATTTTCAAAAACATTTTTTGCCACATTTCGTGTTTTTGGAAGGTCAGTTCCCGCCGTTCTAATAGATGGATTTTCACGAAGAATATTTTATATCATCCGAAACGTAAAAAACCTTATTGATCGCGGTTACCCATATCATTCAGTTGACAGATCTAAAAATTTGGCCCGAAAATAGGTTTTTTAGAAATTTGATCGCACAAAATGTTCACCATCGGAAGAGTATTATTCTGAAGCTGTGCATACTACATACACAAAATACATATCAAATTACTCAGATTCGCGACTACAATAATCTTATAATCAATTTTTAGAAATTCCTATTTGCGTATTAAAGCTAAAAGTAGAATTCAAAAGACATTCAAAATCGAGCTTCAAAATGTCAGCATCATTTAAAGGTAGATGCAGTTAAAATTTTGAAAAATGATACATAAGTGGCGTAGTCCCCATTTTGTTGGCTTCTAGTTTTACTTTGACACCAAGACCGTGAAATGAGTGGCTTAGTCACAAATCGATAGAGAACATAAAAAACTGGTTCGCCTCAACCTGTTTTTACACATTTTTTACATTTAAGTAGACACAGCTTCCACCAAATAAAGTTTGGAGGTCAATATCATGAACAGTTTGCAGCGACAGACTAATTAACCCAAAACTTTTCACTTTTTTCATATACTTAAGTAATTCCCGAGTTATAGTACGTTTACATTTAACCGGATTTCGTTAAGCCAGTGGGTTTCAATTGTCAATTCCTTTGCATATACGTCAAATAAATCCTCATAAAGTAGGTTAACCCGATAAAAAGTTTTAATGTACAAGGAGTTTTATAAAGAGGTGAACCTCCGCTTCAGCTATGTTAAAAAATTGGCAATATTGCCCATATATGTGTCGGCAAAATGTAAAATAAATTCCATAAAATGTTATATACATATGGCGATTGGCATATTTTCAACAAATTAAAATTTATATTTTCGACAGCTGCACATCGGTCTCAAGATGTAACTATGGATGTTACAACTTATATTGATGGGTTTTGCAGGCAGGGAACTAAATATAAATAATTTAGTAGCTTTTACCACTGAATAAAATCTGCCCGTACATATCGAAGGAATATATTTTCATTTAGTCCTGATTTAGGGCAACCCCACCAATTCTCGATTTTAATTTTTCAATATTTTCAATGGGCTGGTAAATCAATACCAATGCTTGATAATGTTTGTAACTTTGCACATATATAATTAAAGATTTAAAAAAGAAGAAAAATAATTTACAAAAAATTTTTGTTATTGTTTTTTGTTATTTTTTGTAATTAAAGAAAATTCCTTATTTTTGATGGCGGGCATGATAACTACTCACTGGAACATTGGAATCCGAAAATTCCAACGGTTTTAGAAAGAGTACATGTCTGGCTCTGGTATGAACTAGGATTATTGACTTCGCTCTAAAATTAACAAAATGGTGGACCTTTGAAAAAATATTTTTGGAAAATCGCCGATTTTTTTTACCAAAAACCAAGTTAAAAAATAAGGAATATCTTCACCGATTGACTTTATCCTAGTTCATACGATAGCACTCACAGAGAAACGTGTAAAAATTTGGAATCGATTGGGTTATTAGTTTTTGAGTTATTGTGCCCGCCATTCGCAGAAGCGAAAAACGCGTTTAAAGTTTGAGAAGCCCTTTAGCCGTCACTTGATGCTGACACAATAAATCGGCTATATCTTCAAGAGTTCTTGAGATTTTCACTTGAAATTTTTGTAGGACATTCTTGAATTAGTGTAGATTCGAATTAAATCAAAAAAATGTTTGACCCCAAGAATGGGGGGGAGGCCCTCCGAAACACGACGAAGATCAACCTCAACCGTTGATGTTATAACGTGACGGATGGCTCAACAGATCTCCTTGTGGTTGTTGTATCATCGATTACAAATAACAGGAGAGATGACGCAAGAGATTCATTCTGCCTATGTCTTAAGACAGGGTTCGCCTCCCAGTAGACCTTATTTATAGTCCACGGGCATGGTCGTCCATGTGATGAAAACCACTTCAAGTTCAAATGTTGGTATAGTATTTGTATAGGCTATTCTCACTCTGAACATTTAGTTTTTCCATAAATAAAAACACAAGTTTTCTTTTTATACATATTTGTTTTGTAATTTTATTATAATAAACTTAAACTTTATGTATAGATTAATGAATTTGTTTCCATTTTATTTTCTATAATAAATATAAATGAAATGGCCGAGTTAAAATAACGCCACCTATAAATTGAAATAAACGAAATATTGCCAACACAGATACGGCGAATAAATATTCTTAGCTTCAAAATGATGTAGACACACCGCAGCGCTTGGGATTTTCAATGCAATGATGGTGGTTTGAAAGTGAAAAGTTGTTCGGAGAATATGAGTAATTTCATGTTAATTATTTTACAAATGAATAATGATAAAGAAATATATACCGTTGCCTGATATTTAAAAATGAATTGAGATGTGAATGAAGTGGAACTGAATATAAAAACTAAATAAAAAAGGCGTCGCTTGAATTATGTTTACTAAACATACACATACGCATGTTTTTAATATATATGTATATATAAAACACTGTCGCTTGCTAATACAGTCGCAGGAGTCACCACAAATTACTCCTTAAAAATTCCCCTAGCTTTGGCAGTAATTTTTCGTACCCGTCCCCTGCTGCTGACGCTGACAAGTTGATCATCATCGCTATCCATCGTACTTGCGTCTACGTCGTCGTTTATAGTCGGACCTCTTAATTCGGATGATTCCTTGCGAGGTTTTCTTCCTCTGTTACTAGTATTAGCGAATTCTTCATCATCACTGAGTTCATTGTATCGCGGGCGTTTCTGATTGCGAGCACCCCTTTGATTGCGATCGCGTCCGCCGTTTGTAATGGTCCCGGCAGTGTTGGCTTTTCTTGATCTACGGGAGGTATGGCGACGAGTGTTGCTGTATTTTTTGTCCTCATCATCCTCGTCAGCTACGAAAGAGTCATCAGAACGTCGTCGTTTTGTTCGGGCCTTTTTAGCGTTCCTTGATTTAGGTACATAAGAAGTCAGGGGCTGATTATCCTCCGAATCGGACTCATCATCGCTGATAGACGATTCAGTCGATCCATCAGTGCCCATATCAGAAACACCGTCTTCCTCGTCTTCGTGTACATTTTCGTCAGCAGAAGGTTCGGTTTGTGAGTTCTCTTGGCTAAATCTCGACCGACCCCTTCGTACTGCCACAGCGGCATGTTGGACGTCTTCCTCTCTATGATAGGAAGGCGCGGCAGTAGTCGATGTCGGCATTCCACGTCTAAGACGTGTACTGGCTGAAATCAACATAGTATTTTCCAAAGGTTCCAAGCTGATGTCCAATTCGTCAGCATTCCGTTGGTGTCGTGAAAGAACCCGCCTTGAATTACGTAGAGCTGCACTTGATGTCGATGGTCCTGGATCTCCAACATAATTGTGATCATGAACTGTAGGTTGCGATGACGCTGTGGAAGAGGTAGCTATATTCGTAGTAGTGGACGTGGCGTGGGATCGAGTCATATGTGTGGTTGGCAATGAAGTGTCTGCTATTTTAACCGTGTGTCCATCTTCGCGACGCTGCAGTTGCGTGGGGTGAGGTGTAATTACTTTTCCTAGTGGGCACATAAATGGAAAATTACATTCCAACAATATGGGAGATTATTGACGTTAAACTATACTCACTTTGTTGCCGAGTTTGAGAGTTTTGACTTGATGCCAATGGCTCGTCGTCACTGTCATCATCGCCAGAATCCTGTTGTGGTTCTACAACTGTATTTCGATTAGTTCGTAAGTGTCTTACACCAGCAGACGACCGCGAAGAAGCAGCAGCAGCTGCAGCTTTACTAGTTGAAGGTCCGTTTTCGTCTCGACTGGCGCAATAATTAGATTTTGTGGGTGTAGGTGTTGGTAGTATCTAAAGAGCAAAACAAATAAACACGAGTCTCATAAAACATTTAGAAGCAGTTACTGGGATATTATTTTTAGTAGTTTATTGACGAATGAACTAGTGTTCTCAAATACCATGAGTGAAGCTATTTCACGTGGCGAAACAAGTATAAACGAATACTGACGATACAAAACTACTTCTCAATTTTAGACAACGGTAATTGCAGTTATCAATAATGTTCGAATCAACTGAGGCACGATAATTGTCAATATTTATGTATGTATAAGGAATATGCAATACCCACCTCTTCAGCTTCCTCAGTGCCCTCTCCATCGCTTTCGGCACGAGCCCATTCCATTATGGCTCTCTTAACACTGGCTCTTGTGGGGCGCGTTGCAAGTTCTTGAGAATCGTTATCCGACTCTACAACTCGGCCATTACGTACAGGTAAATGATAACTGTGATCGTTCTCAGCAGCCGATCTGCGACCAACGCCTACGGATTGCGTTTGAGATACGGCTTGCGTTCTGGTATTGCGCGACGGACTCTCTAGTAGTGAATTAGATCCATCGTTCTGGTTGCGCGATGATTTTGGTGGTCGCCCTTTTTTCTTAGGCGTATGTGTAATTGTGTCCTGCGTACTTTCATCAACATGCGAAACACCCCCACCACGTTGGTTCCCATTTTGAGTCCTTCGTACCTTTCTACCAGATTTTTTGTGTTTTTTATGACTATCTAAATCAAAGTCCTCGTCGGTGTCTTCGTCCGAAAGACGACGACGACTCCTTTTATTCCGGGGACCTTGCTGAGTCGTCGTACGTCCCGATTTATGATGTCGTTTCCGTCCTTTCGTTTTACGATCTTTTTCGGGACTGTAGCTTTCTTCAGAATTTTCGCTTAGGCTATTGCCAGATGAGGACGATGTACTCGATGTGGCGCTATCACTGTCAACTTCATCTGAATCCGAAGACAAAGCGGACAGAGCATCTTCTTCCTCTTCATCATTTTCGGCTACACGATTTCTTTGCCGGGATGCCCGTGAAGTGCCTGGCTGGGGATCATCAACATCGTTGTGTCTTCTGTGTGACGAAGACGACGTAACTCGGTTTGAGCTCGAAGTACTTGCCATCGCAACACCACGACTATTAACGCCCCGTCCACTTCGCTGGGCTACGCGCGGCGGCTCGTGATTGTTATCATCTTCATCGTGTTGAGATGACTCTTCCGAACTGTGTATACGTCTTGTATTTCTACTCGATGTACCCCTCCTTCCTGTAGTACGCGTTCTGTCAGACGGTGCGCGCTTAGTGGGACTACTGCTAGACCCCCGAGCCGAAGTGCCGCTGCGAGACTTGTTTTTATTTGCTCGTCTTCTGGCTGCTTTCCAATTGCTAATAACTGTTTTAATGTGTGTCTCAAAGAGAGCACTCAAACGTAAGGTCATTGAGTAAATCTGAAATGAAAGCCACATTGAATCAGATGTGAAATATCGATTATAATCTGCATACACTTCGTAATATAAATGTTTGTGAAATGCTGTTGCTTTGATAATTGCAGTAAAAATGACCTTACCGCCAAATGTTCCTACAATCATGATCGTCATTCATTGTTATGGATTTATGATTTACATGGGTTAGATAGTAGTGGTGATGATTTGATGAGATTTTTGGGAAGCATGTCAGAAAGGAAAAGTCGAAGCACAACATTTAATATGATATAATTATGAATCAAATCAAAACAATCGATAAACGATAGTAAACCAAAGGCAATATTTTTTTGAAAGAATTTGGGTGTTTTGTTTTCTCTCGAAATCACTTAAAAATGAATAGACGATCTATATACATACAAAGTATTAACACCCAATGTGCACGCTTCATTACAAATTGGAAAGACGATTTGTGCACTTTTGCCTTTATTGGAAAATATATGAAGAACTTACTCTTGAACGCTTATTGGTGTTGTAATTCTTGGAATTTTGAAATATCAAACGAACATCCTTTGCAAAGTCTAATGGGTCTTCATAGTTGCCTCCCAGTAGGTCTTCCTTCACAGTGCGTAAATCCATTGGTGTTGATATTATCTCTAAGTAATCTGGAAATTCGATGGTATCCACAGGTTCTCGGAAAGGCAGTGAATCTGGTCGCTGCAACATCATTTCCAACAACTGTCGGCAATCGGCACGCCAGTCGCCGTCGGACCGCATACGGTTGGATCTGTCAAATATGTACGAACAATTTATAGAAATGCATCGAATTAACAAAATAAAGAAATGAACATATAATTCGTGTTGTTGTAATTTGCTTGTTTTTGCTACAGTTGCCGAATGCAGCACAAACGCTGAACCGAATCTTTCCTTCACAATCAAAAGCATGTTTTTAATTGTGGTTGAGTTTTATCGGAAAGTAGTGTTATTGAATTTAAATGAAAACGTTAAATGTTAAAATATATTAACGTATGCTAACCTCGTATTGGAAGGAAATGAAATATAAATCTTGGTATTCCTTTTTTTTTTTTTTTTTGCATTACCTTCTTGTGGAGGACATGCTATGTCGGCCTTTAGCAGCTGCCGCTGAAGTAGATGGACCCGTACTGGTTGACGGTACTACATCCGACTCATTGTCATTTTCTGACTCAGATGAATGGTAAACATCAACTAATTGATGGTACACTGCAGCAACGTCTATGTCATTTGGCTCTCTTAAATTTGTAAAAAATGCAATATCAATTAGTGGTTTTTTTTGTATTTTCTTTTGTTTTTAATTTTAGCAATCAGTATACCTTATTATACGAAGACACAAATCTGTAATAATCCGGGCATGCTTGACAATATTTGTATGTCTTCTATTATATTTTTCAGCATTTGTTGCCAAATAACGAACATCAAATTGTGCCGAGGTAATCCGACGGTAAAAGTGATTTTCAAATCGGGATTTGATCGTAGTAAGATCGATTGGATATTCTATAAGATAGGCATAGTCAGGATATATATTCAGGTCAACAGGCGCCAAAAAGTGTTCTGCAATTGACAGGCGCATCACCTGGAAGTAATGCAGATGTTAATTAATTGGTTAAGAAAATGTACGTGTATGCGCCATTCGTCGCAACAAACCTGTTCTAGGCCGTTTATAATTCTGCGACATGAACCATCCCGATCTCCACGATGCCACTCCTCCGATTTTGGTTGGTATAGCGTTGCTCGAATTTCTTCTGGTAAGACAGGCACGGCTCCGCCAACTTCATCCGGCAAACGATTCTCGTCAATGGGTTCCATATCCCAAGGACTCATGTACTCATATTCGCCGTTATCCCAACGAACCCTGAAACACATGAATGGCGAGTCGGGAAAGTCCGAAGATAAAGCATGCCGTGATTCGATCTGACCCATCCACCAACCGTCCCCTATCATGCAACGGAAGCGATCACCAATGCTCCAGTTACGTTGAACGGCTAAGTCATAAGTTTGACGCAAAACTATGAAGTCCAATACGTCAGGCATGTCATGATATTTTATCTTGAATGTAGTGCCTGTCATATTCCCGTCTTCGTCGATGATGGCCAACTTGAGGCAACACAATCGAGGTGGTCGGATTTCATATTTAATTCCAATGACTCTAACAAGTTCCTTGTCACGAAGGGTGTGAAAACTCCACGGTTCCGAGCTATGTGATACTTTGTAGACCTTTTTCATGCGAACAGCATCAATATAACGTTGGTGGCCTTGTCGAAAGTAAACAACCTCATCACCCATCTGTGGATAATAAGGGGCTTTTCGTGGGATTACTTCAGAAAGCCATTCTGCAGGTCTATATATTTCAGGTATTTCGCCATTTGATGCGGCTGGAGGAATAAGTACCTTTTTGTTCTTTCTTGTAGCTTTAGCAGATGTAGTTGCCTGTTCGGTAGTATCATCACTGCTGTCTTCGCTCAAGGTTCTCTTTCGAGATAGAGGTTTACGCTTAGAACGTTTGGGTGGTTCCAAATTCGGGCCCGGAGTATCAGCGACCCAATCGGAATAATCAGACGACTCCGTATCGGAATCCTCCGATGATTCATCCAACTCCTCTATATTTGAATAACTTGTATCGCCAGACGAGTTACTGCTTTCCTCCTCTTCTTCTAACGCTTCAGGCACGGACGGTTCATCGAGTTCTTCCTGATCTCGGACAGCTCTTGTTCGGTACGCTGGTTGGTTTGTTTGCTGCCCCGCAGGTCGGCCACTTCGTCTTCTCCCAATTCGATCGGAACCACGAGTATTTCTGTTACGTCCGTTTGCCGATTGAGAGTTTACTACACTTGCAGTACTTATCATAATGGGACGTCGTCTCATTTCACGTTTGTATTCTTGCATTTCGTATTGTCCTGCTGCATAAACCGTCTGTTTAAGATTTTGAAGTTGTGCATATTTCATGGGACGCACATATATCCTACGTACATATTTAAGCGGAGCTAGCTGGTGAGATTGTTGTTCAGCTGGGGGTCGTCCCCAGGTTGTACCTTGTCGGGGTTGTTGAGATAATTCTAAATTTCGTCCATCAAGTGATGCATTTCGCGATGTAGTAGGCCCGTTGCCAAGAACGTTTCCAGAGGTACGATTGTTAGAGTCGGGGGCCACATCGTGCCCCTGACGATTCGCCAAAGCTTCGATCATTCGATCTAACTGTGATCTATTCGCTCCCGATGCCGGAGGACTTTGCTGGTTGCTACTGTTACCACCTCCTTGACGATTTGCCAATGCGGCTATTAGACGATCAATGTGTGAATAATTTCCACCATTTTGATTATTTCCCCCATTTTCTTCAATGATGCCATCGGGGCCTACAGATAGATTCGGTATTAGCTGGTCAGTGGAGCAGTTTTCCCTTCCCGGCACAAACCGTTGGTACCTGGCCGGGTGGGGATTGCCATCCGAATCAACCAAAAATGGCGGCGGCATTAGGTGTGGCATAACCTGTGTTTGTTCGTCTACTACATGGTGCGAAGCATCTCGTAGCAATGGCCTATAATCCGTGTGGAAGAATAGCTCGGTGGGCAACTAGAAATTAAATAATTTATCTTCACGTTGAAATAAGCGCATAACAATAACTTACTATTTTATATCTGTCAGGACCTACTCCCAAACCAAATATTAGTATGTGGCCATGTGAATCAGTGGCTGCGATCATTGTGCCATCGGGGGACCATTTTGCATCGAATACTCCACCGTGGCCTTGGCCATCAATATTATTTACAAAATGTGCTACAGACTCTCCCTTTTCAATGTCCCACAAAAAGACTTGACCATCGTGACCGGCTGAGAGTAAAACATGTTCATTTTTGGGATTTGACTCTAATACAAAAAGTTCATCTTTGTGTCCACGTAAAACACAGTGAAGTTTGGCAGTTTTGGCATTCCATATTTTTATCTAAAGATCACAGCATTGGGTTTAATCGATGTTTAAATTCACAATACCCTGTACTTACAGTAAAGTCATTAGCCGCAGTAATAACATATTTGTCGGAACAGTCCCATGCAACCATGGTCACCTTCAATTTTTTCCCCTCTTCAGGCTCTGGACAGCTGTGAGTGATATAATAACTTATATTTAAAAATGCCCTGTAGTGATTTATTTCAGATATCTTACGTTGGCAGGCGTTCGGTCATACACAACTTAACGCTTTTCCATTGTTGTGACTCAAAGGTCCATATGTGTGCAGAACCATCTTTACTTCCCGAAATGAAACGAAGGCCTCGATGAGACCACTGGACGGAATCAACAGCATCAGTATACGCTTCCGTTTCTAGAATGCGTTTGGGACCATCTTCTGACATAAGATAAACGCGTACATGGTGATCCGCTGATCCTGCTGCCAAAAACATTCCACCGGGCGAAAACGAGGTGCACATCATTTGAGCCTGACCTGGGCGTAGCTTTTCGTGATATTGTATTGGCTTTGGAGCGAACGTTATTTTCTGACCTCGAGGTGTCGAATACTGCCAAAATGCTATGGACCCATCTGTACTAGTTGTTACCAAATATTTTAAATCTCCTCTGGGAGAAGGGCAAAAGTTAACTGAAGTTATCATGCCTGTGTGCGCTGACAGCACCGCTATGGGAGATGTAGTCTGCAAATCCCAAACCCGCAATATTCTATCTAAAGAACCTGCAGCCAACATAGTATTGTCGAGATTAATGGCAATATCTGTGATTTCCGCCGATGCCCCTCGAAGAGTGGCTAAAAGACGCCCGTCCATTGCTGACCAGATTTTAATCAAAAGGTCGTCAGCGCCGGTTATTATGTAATGACCGGTACGATCAAACAGAACACAATAAACGGACGAAAGATGGCCCACAGTGCGACGCAAAAGTTTTGTTTTGGAAAATAAACTGGTAGGTACTAAAAGTTTTCGTCGTACCGGGCCCCCATATTCTCGTCCAATTAACACTTTTTCTGCAAATATACATCAATTAATAACACAATAAGAAATGTTCAAAAATGGTGACAGTTCGCTTACGAAAATTATGTATTGGTTTTGTTACAGCGGAATCTGGCAGTGATACTCCGTGTAGTCTTGTGCAATAATCCAGTAATGATCTAGATTTAAATATGCTATCCTTAGTCCTAAGAAGGCTTTGACGCCCAGCGCCCAAAAGCGACACTAGTCCGGGAACACTGGGCGTCAACTCCTTATCCAAAATTGGTCCAATGCGGCAGCAAATTTCCAGCAAATGATTTGACCCAATGTGAGCATACTGTTTCTCCTGAATGAATACAAACAGATTCATAAAATTAATAACAAATTGGTTGTTGTTTAACGTTTTGTCCTCTAATATTTCGGAACCGATAGCGCATATCCTTTTGGGATATGTGGTATAAGAACTAAAACAACATTTTTGAATTATTATTATTAATTTCAAAGTCATGCCAGCATGGCCAGTATACTACAAAATAATATCGTGGCCCTGGACTTATCCAAGGCATTTGAGTGTGTAAATTATTCGATACTAATTCAAAAACTACTATCTAATATGCTTTTAATAATACAGCTTTTAATTTAATTTCCTCGTATTTGTCCGGGCGTTTCCAGTGTGTTTCATTAAATGGCAAGACTTCTAACAAACTTAATATATACAATTATTATTATTCAATCGTATTAAGCGAAGGATCAATTTCATGGTCATCGAAAGGTAAAAATGATGCGGAGACAAATGATATTAAAAACGCGTCAGGATATGTGCATTATTGTGTACAGAGCCGATCCGTCGGTCAATATAATTCGTCCTTTGGAATACGATTGCACTGGTGTTATTCATTTCGAAACTAATATAAACGATGATGTCCACTAACAACTGGAAGACAATTCGAAGAAAGGCAACATTTCCAAAACTTACTCATTGGCCCTTGAATGGTTATTTATAAATCGTATTAATTTTATGTTCATATTCCTCAAACATCTGTTTTAAGATAAAGGGCTTTTAGATTGAATATACATTTTTGCCCAGTTTTTAGTCATATTTTGGTTTTGGCTTTGTTATCATACATAATAAAATTAAATTTAATTAAAATGCAAATATGTATTTTTATTAAAAACTGTTTAAAATGATTGTACAAAATTGTTTGATTAACGTCTTCAATCTAGTTTCTAGTTCAATCTAGTTTCACCTTATCTAGTTTCTTCATAAGTAGACCTCGGATTTTGCATATTTGCGTATTTTTTAATAATGAAGATATCGAAATTCTGATTGGACACAAATTCGTTTCAAAGGATTTAGAATTATTTGAAGGGTTCATATTTTTTAATTTTTTGCATATTTGCATATTTTGCATATGCACGAGATATGCAAAAAATATGCAAAATATGCAAAAAATTAAAAAATATGAACCCTTGAAATAATTCTAAATCCTTTGAAACGAATTTGAAACGAATTATGCAAAAAAATATGCAAAATATGCAAAATATGCAAAAAATATGCAAAAAATATGCAAAATGTGCAAAATATATGCAAAATATGCAAAAAATATGCTAGGTCGATATGCAATAAATATGCAAAATATATGCATAAAATATGCAAAATATATGCTAAAATATGCAAAATATTCAAAAAATATGCACGGTATGCTAGGTCGATATGCCATAAATATGCAAAATATATGCAAGAATATGCAAAAAATATGCACGGTATGCTAGGTCGATATGCAATAAATATGCAAAAATATGCAAAATATGAAAAATATATGCAAAATATATGCAAAATATGCAAAAATATGAAAAATATATGCAAAATATATGCAAAATATATGCAAAATATGCAAAATATGCAAAATATGCAAAAATATGCAAAAATATGCAAAATATGAAAAATATATGCAAAATATATGCAAAAATATGCAAAATATGCAAAATATGCAAAAATATGCAAAATATGAAAAATATATGCAAAAATATGCAAAATATGCATAATATGCCAAAATATGCATAATATGCCAAAATATGCATAATATGCCAAAATATGCAAAAATATATGCAAAAAATATGCACGGTATGCTAGGTCGATATGCGAGAAATATGCAAAAAATATGAAAAATATAGGCAAAAATATGTGCAAATATAAGCAACATATTTCACATATGCAATCATTTTAATCAACAAAAAAAAAATTTTTCATGGTAGTTTTCGAATTTGTGTGCTTTCTTTATTTTTAACCTATAGAAATCTAATTGTGTATGTATGCGTTTCATGGTTCAACTGTTAGATTTTTGGGGCATTATGAAAAATTTGCTAAATATATGTATAAAACATGCAAACATATATAACCGTTATATGGCGATATACTAAAACGTGGACCGATATATCCCATTTCCAATACCAAACATCCTAGGAGTAATAATAATATATGTGCAAAATTTCAAAGTTCTACCTTTAATATTGCGACCTAGCATACCGTGCATATTTTTTGCATAATTTGCATATTTTGCATATATTTTGCATATTTTTGCATATTTTGCATATCGACAATGCATATTTTGTATATTTTTTGCATATATTTATCGCATATCGACCTAGCATACCGTGCATATTTTTTGCATATCTTTGCATATGTTTGCATATTTTGCATATATTTTGCATATATTTTGCATATTTTTGCAGATGTTTGCATATTTTGCATATATTTTGCATATTTTTGCATATTTTGCATATTTTGCATATTTTTGCATATGTTTGCATATTTTGCATATGTTTGCATATTTTGCATATTTTGCATATTTTAGCATATTTTAGCATATTTTGCATATCGACAATGCATATTTTGTATATTTTTTGCATATATTTATCGCATATCGACCTAGCATACCGTGCATATTTTTTGCATATTTTGCATATTTTTTGCATATTTTGCATACTTTTGGCATATTTTGCATATTTTTTGCATATATTTTGCATATATTTTGCATATTTTTTGCATATTTTTTGCATATTTTTGACATGACCCCAAATATCGATTAATTAAAGCATGAAACGCCTAAATACAAAATTTGAGTCCAATCGGATAAAGCATAAAAAATATGCAAAAATCCGAGGTCTATTCATAAGTCACATTAGTTGTGAATTGCATACATATTTTTGCCCAATTTTAGTATGTAAGAGTGTCTTGTCAAGTTTGTTGTAATGAATGGAAAAACTGTTATAGCTTCAACTTTAACCTGTATTAAGTTAGTATTTTTAGCTTTTGTTTCAGTGTTGGAGTAGTAAATACATAAATAGAAATAATGTATTTTAATTATATTTTAGTTGCTCCGTTTGTCCTGGATATATAGGGGTTAGTATGATAAAATGCAAGTATATGGTCACCTAAAATTCAAACGGATGTAACTACAATTTTACTTATTTTACAGGAGAAGTCAATAAACATATACAATATGTAAGTATGAAGTATTTCATGCAATATATACAAAGTTTTGTTACATCATTTACGGTATTTATTATATTAAGGCTTTTTGTTAGCTTCATTTTGTATTAAGAAATACACGCCGTTGTTGTTGTAGCAGCTCTACTACTTTTACACAATGTGCTGAGGTGACAGACGTTGGGCGAATAAGACTCGGGTCGTAGACCCTCTGTCGCAGAAATGACATGCCGTTGTAACTATGTCCGTCTGCCTTTTTGGTGACGATATATGGAAATTCAGAATATCTCCGACTTGTGGTAGCATTTTTAAAATGATCTGCGATAGAATCTTGAATCCTTATTTGTGTTGTTGTTTGTAATACTTGGTTGTTGTATTCGAAGCTCCGATTAGCTCGAGTACGCGAAGAGTATGACTTTTTTTATCTGGTATACTCTCCACTCTTTTATTTTATTTATTATTATTATTATTATTATTATTTTTTTTTTTTTTTTGAGTGCTCTCGAGTGAGTACTCCTTGTTGAAGAAAAAGAGTGAAAGTCAAAATGTTCGAAATAGAGTAAGAGCATAGACTAATAAAGATATAGATGACGAAATACTCAAAAAATGCGCAGTCAAATGACTCAAAATAAAAAACTCAACCATTTTTAAAGACGTTTTTTGTGGAAAATTGACTATTTTTCTTTAATGTTTTTATCTGAGGATATAGTTTTTGCTTAAAACTAAATATATTTAGTGGCATTCCAAATTAAAAGATTCAAACATTTAAGTAAATCAGCATTTAAAATTGAGTAGCGCATTCAGCAGACTCAATTCAGGGAGGACTGGTGAGAGCATTTCGTCGTCTATATCTTCATTAGTCTATGGTAGTACAAAACGGTCTTTTGTGTGATGTCGAATATTGATCATGTACTGTGATATATCATCATTAGACTATGGTATATATCATCATTAGTCTATGGTATAGTAATAAGATAAAAGAGTGGAATTTGCTCGACTTCGATCGTATTTCACTCCCACTCAAAAACGGGCGAAGCTTTTGTGCACTTATTTGAGTGACAGAGAAAAATAGAGTACACTCGACTTACTTCGAACCAATATATTTGTGCACATTACTATCATTAGGTTTTTTGGAATATATTTTGAGTTTTTATCCGATGCTGGTAGGTATTTCCATGATATGAACTGTTGTCGTACTCCTACTCAAAAACCAGCATAACTTTACAAATTTATAAATGGAAAAACTAAAACAATTCCGATTTATTAAATGTTCTTGAACGGAGAATTTTTATTAAAATATGAGAATATTCTCCAGTAACACAATTGTCAATTATGAATATCCGGTAAAAAAAATTTACCAATTTACCATGTCTATAAATTGCAAAATAAAATAATTGTATAAAGCGACATCTACCTGATAATTGTGATACAACATTCAATAATATTAATGCATAGTGATAAAACATATGGCAACGCCACTATGTGAAGTTTCCATCAATTCTGGCAATAACAATAACAAAAAAAGATAAGTAGAAAAAACAATATGTATGTACTAATTTTTTTACGGATATAGGAAATTATTCGTTCCCTTTTTTCATAAAATGTTATTTTTTTCGTATTCTGCATTCAATTTTAGCCAATCAGCCCAACAAATAATGTTCTCCCATTTTTAATTAATAATATGTTAATAATTTTGTGAAACGTTTTTCCATTATAAATGCAAATGTTTTTTTATCCTGCACAGGAATAACTCATATGTTCACTACCAACCAAAGAAGACACTTGCAAACAATGTCCTTTGTTTGTTTGTGTGCACATTATTCAACCCAACATGGCGTACAATTACCCCAACACATTTTACTTATCGACCGTGTACATACATATGTATGTGTTTCCCAATTATCATTATTTTGATATATTGTCCTTAAATACATTTACTTCTAATATAAAATCCTACTAATTTGTTCAATATTTAGATTATATAAAAAACAATTTGTTGGACTTACCAATTCAGCCAACGATTGATCATGTTCATTGCCTAGCCAATCTAAGCGCTTCGGCAGTACCTAAAAGAAAAAAATAATACAAGAAATGAAAGGAATATATTTTTGCTCAAGAAACAATCCTAATCCTAACAATGAAATCAATTTTAGCAGAAAATCTTCCTTGCGTTTAAATCGCAAACACGTGTACACCCACAGTAGATGAACAATTAGCGCTCCCTTTTCCGAAACGGGCATGTACTGGACCACATAAACAAAAATTAATTTACTGTAAATCGACTCATTCATGTCAAATTGTATTTTTGAATATCTTCTTTAGTTTGGCCGCAGACATCGCTATAAGCGCACGTTAAACACGGATAGCAACAACAAGTGTTGTTGTTTTAACATACAGTAAAGAAAAAAAAACAAAAAATATTACGAAAACGCCAGCAGAACCGCCAAATAAAAGTTAACATAAACACGGGGGAATTTATAGATCTGGAGACATTCTTGCAACTTGTGACACTTACCTTCTTAGCTTCAAGCTCCCGGATCAGAACCTGTAAAGAAACAAAAGTGCATGTTAACTCAGAAGGATCGTTCACAAATAGAAGTTGCTTCAGCAAAATAAATTCCGTACCTGTGCCGTTTCCTTGAGTGGACCAGCGGACAGAAACTTGGAAATTAGGAAATATAACTCTGGAATGGAAACGTTAATTTTGATTAGGTACAAAATGTTCAATGTAAAAGACCGTAATAATGTAGATTCGTTATTGTTTTGATTTGCATCCAGACATTTGGTAAGCAAATGCATTCCGCGTCTGAGCCTGATATTCGAGGGATTCGACAACTTCCTCTATCACGACCTCCATCAAACAGTAAGCTACACTATTCCAATAGCCATTACCTGGGGTTATTATTTTCTCCACAATTTCTTTGTTACTATCCATATTTCATTTTTATCAACAAAATTGGGCAAATTATGAATCTATTAATATGGTTTTAACTTTTTCAGCTACTGGTATGAAAATTATTCCTTGCCTTGCTATTCTTCTTTTTTCTTTGTGAGTCTAGGGATCTATAAATCGATTAGGGACCATTTGTATTTTTTGTATCACAATGAGACGTGGGAAAATGGGTATTCGGATATTTTAAATACTCATTGGTTGTACCACTTTTTTGTTGCAGAAATCACCTTATGATCGAACCAAATAATTTTTGGAATATAAATAGTAATTGGAAACCATTATTCTTCAAATCATAACCTAAAAAAGAGATGACCTTATTTGCTGATATTATCAAATGACAAATTTAAATCGAATGGGACTAAAGAATGCCGGCATACCAAGTTATATTCCTATGTGTTTACGAAAATGAAGCCAATTTTAACTTCATATGATGGTACAATATTACAAGGTAGGATATTCCGATGACAAAGAGCAAATAGAAAATATGTAAAATTATAGAGTATACCAGAGTCCTGTTTTAGCTTTACACTTTATTCATTTACATTGTTCAAAGCGAACTTACGGGCATGGTACAATAACACAAGGTAGAATAACTTGAGGTGAATAACAAAGGACCCATAGTGGTAGTGGTTTCTTCTGTATATATTTCCTATATATACTAAGAAACATCAGCTGATTGACATTTATATCATGATTAAAGATATGTGTAAACAGGTATGGTGTATTTCTGAATTTCGTTTCATGGTTGGCAACACTGCACATCGAATTCAAATAGAAATTACCCACATTGACAATTAATCGAGACATCAGCTGCGCTAAATGGACTACCTATTTATTGTGCCATGATCCAGTCGATTTAAAATCGTATATGTAACTGTGCTTTAAAATGTTTTCTGACAAATTATAGTGTACTCGTAAAGATTATTTAGTTTTACAAAATCCGCTTGAGTTCAAATGTCGATTCCATTGAGATCGAACGCTCCATGATGCAAAAATAAAGGTGTGTATCAAAACCAAAGCTCTTGTTTTAGTTGGCAACATTGCACATCGAATTAAAGTAGAAATTACGCAATCTGACAGTTAATGGAATCATCAGTGGCGCTAAATGGACTACCATGGAACGCTCTTATATTTTGTGTTGTTCGCAACTGGTTACTCTTTGCACAAATATTTGGTACCAATTTATTCGGTACATTTACAAACATCTGTCCTATCTGTCACGAGTAGGCTGAAATTTTTAACAAACTGGGAGACAAATGTTGAATTAAAATAAAAAATAAAGCAATGAGTTGGGTATCGGATTATAAATATACGTGGCTTCAAACCGTGGCCATGCATGTAATTAAGAATGGGTTTCGTTTACCAAACCACATAGCTTTTGTGATGGACGGAAATCGACGATATGCTAATTCCCAACAGATTCGTAAGATCGAAGGGCACTCCAAAGGATTTGATAAGTTGGCTGATTGTTTACGATGGTGTCTTGACATTGGCATTCGAGAAGTGACTACGTTTGCTTTTAGTATAGAAAATTTCAAAAGGTCGAAAGAGGAAGTGAATGGTTTACTAGATTTAGCTCGGGAGAAGTTTTCCAAACTTCTCCAGGAAGGTCCAAAACTTCGAGAGCATGGAGTCCGAATTAGGGTTATTGGAAATATAGCGCTTTTACCAGAAGATTTACAAAACCTCATAGCACAGACAATGCTAGAAACGGAGACCAACAACAAGTTGTTTTTAAATGTCGCCTTCTCTTACACTTCTCGAGACGAAATTACGCATTCTGTGGAACAAGTTCTTCGCCATGGCGATGGATTACAAGAGGGAGACATTAGCGAGCGTCTTTTGGAAGAATGTTTGTACAGTAGACACTCACCTCCGCCTGATTTACTGTTTCGAACTTCCGGGGAAACACGAATCAGCGATTTTTTAATGTGGCAGGTAAATCCAATGGGCTATTATACATGTATCGTACTAATTTTTACTTTTCGTTTCAGCTAAATTCCACAGTTTTGTACTTTACGAAAATCCTGTGGCCGGAAATTACAATATGGAACTTCTTAGCGGGAATATTCACGTACCAAAGAGATAGTCAGCACATGGTATCCTTCAAAAAACATGAGCGATTGAAGCGTGCAATATCATCCAGAAGTTCAAACTTTTATACTGATCGGGTTCAAAGATTTTTGCATCGCCTAGATGTATATAAAAGAAATATGTTGTTGAAGTGGTCTACTGCCCAATAGAATTATTTGTTATACATTCCACTTTATAGTCACAAACTACACATACACACTTCCTCTTAGGGGTGAACTCCATTCTACTTTCATGTAAATTGACGTTTTTTTGTGTGTAAATACATATATTCAGGAAGTACAACTTGTATTGTTAAGAACAGTTTATTATTAACAAAATAGTGATAAAATGCTGGTCTATTACATTTTGCAGCACTAAAACATTTCCAAAGCATTTTTCACTGGGTTTAGAACTTGTTATTAATTCGACCAACACTATATGATAGGAAAATAGTCAAAGGAAAAACAAACAACTCTTCATAAAACAACTCAAGAAACAACTCTTTATAATTGGATGACTTCTCAAGGTTATATTCTCACAGTCATCAAAAATTAACCAATTGTATGTTCATTGAAAATGGTATAGTATTTAAGAATGATTTTTTAAAGTTTATCATGATTTTTCGATTTTAAACTGGGGTTTGAATTATTAGATAAGGTAAAACACAGCTAGCGGATTTCTTCTACCAGCATAAGGTCTTAGTTTTTGCCATGTTAGAGTGTCAGGCTTATTCTGTTCACTGCCTAACAGCCATGAACTATCAATATGACTTTTAATTACATGCTAGACTAATGCTTTGTTTTTTAGTTTTTTTATGGATGCAACTGTATTAAATTCTGTAGCTTTCATATCACCCATGGTATAATAACATCAGGTAGGTTAATGGTACCTGTTGATTACAATTTTTTCTTTCGTGTGCCCCTGTTCTGTCAAAATAATTACTCAATTTGTAAATGTGTTTGTAATGTCTTGAACAATATTAACAAAATTAAAAATTTTTTCAAATTCAGTTGTAATTAAAATTCAACATTACAGCACTCAGAAATAAACTTTCGGAGTATTGAGAAGAATTCTTATTATAATTATATTTGCAAGCTCGTATCCCAATTTCATTAATTTTTCGCGATATTTTCCCCATTTTATAAAATTGTAAAAATATGTCAAATAAACAAAACAACCTCTTGAATATGTTTATATATAAATTGACACTGTAAGGCATTACACTAGACTACAGTTTTTGTTAATTTTGTCAAGTTATCCTACCTCTTGTTATTGTACGTTGATGTTAATTACATTTGCAACCCCATATTGTGAAAACTTGACATTCCATTCATTTTTCGCGATAATTTCCTGATTTAATAAAATTGTAAAAATATCCCAAATAAAAAACAATGTGACTTAATAAGACATTACACTATACTAATTTTTTTTTTATTTCGTCAAGTAAGCATACCTATTTAAATAATTAACATCACTTAATGCTTTTACCATAGCATAATTATGCCGTGCTTTTGACTATGCAATGTACCATATATTTGATTTTATATCATTTAAGCTTTCCTACAAATCTAAACGGAAACAAAACATTTTGTAAAGCAGCTGTGTTTTTTGGTGAAATTTGTTCGTTTGATTTTACCACCAATATTTGTCCTTGGTTTACGGATGTTGAGTATGTACCTTTTTTACAAAAGTAAGTAAATTGACACATAACAGAAAATTTATGTTTTTTTAAGACTTTTAATAAATAAATTTTTATATTTATCTTTATTCCAATTCAAATTAAATAAATTTTCCATTATCAGAAAACTCATATTAATAAATAAATATGTTCCAATTCAAATACCAAATTTTACATTTTAGTACCTTTTTTGCAACTGTGATAAAAATAAATAAATAAATTTAAATAAAAAATAAATTAAAACACAAAAATTATGAATGAATATAACGAAAAAATTTACTAATATTGTTGTATAATTTATTTTATGGTGTCCATTTACAGATTAATCTGTAATATTCCAGTAACAGCAGTTATAAATATGACAAATTTTTAATTTGGAGGCTACTACTTCTAAGGTCAGAAATATGGATCTGGAAGCTACAATATAAAAACGTACACCATAAACTCGATGTCTAATGAAAGAGGAGATCCTCACGAGCAATTTGGTGTATCGCATGAGCTTCTAATCAGTTTTTCGTTGAACAAAGTTTCCAATTTTCTGGTTTCCAACTGGTGGTCAGGACAGAAAACTGGATCTGGAAGCTACAATATAAAAACGTACACCATAAACTCGATGTCTAATGAAAGAGGAGATCCTCACGAGCAATTTGGTGTATTGCATGAGCTCGTAATCAGTTTTTCGTTGAACAAAGTTTCCAATTTTCTGGTTTCCAACTGGTGGTCAGGACAGAAAACTGGATCTGGAAGCTACAATATAAAAACGTACACCATAAACTCGATGTCTAATGAAAGAGGAGATCCTCACGAGCAATTTGGTGTATCGCATGAGCTTCTAATCAGTTTTTCGTTGAACAAAGTTTCCAATTTTCTGGTTTCCAACTGGTGGTCAGGACAGAAAACTGGATCTGGAAGCTACAATATAAAAACGTACACCATAAACTCGATGTCTAATGAAAGAGGAGATCCTCACGAGCAATTTGGTGTATTGCATGAGCTCGTAATCAGTTTTTCGTTGAACAAAGTTTCCAATTTTCTGGTTTCCAACTGGTGGTCAGGACAGAAAACTGGATCTGGAAGCTACAATATAAAAACGTACACCATAAACTCGATGTCTAATGAAAGAGGAGATCCTCACGAGCAATTTGGTGTATCGCATGAGCTTCTAATCAGTTTTTCGTTGAACAAAGTTTCCAATTTTCTGGTTTCCAACTGGTGGTCAGGACAGAAAACTGGATCTGGAAGCTACAATATAAAAACGTACACCATAAACTCGATGTCTAATGAAAGAGGAGATCCTCACGAGCAATTTGGTGTATTGCATGAGCTCGTAATCAGTTTTTCGTTGAACAAAGTTTCCAATTTTCTGGTTTCCAACTGGTGGTCAGGACAGAAAACTGGATCTGGAAGCTACAATATAAAAACGTACACCATAAACTCGATGTCTAATGAAAGAGGAGATCCTCACGAGCAATTTGGTGTATCGCATGAGCTCCTAATCAGTTTTTCGTTGAACAAAGTTTCCAATTTTCTGGTTTCCAACTGGTGGTCAGGACAGAAAACTGGATCTGGAAGCTACAATATAAAAACGTACACCATTCGATGTCTAATGAAAGAGGAGATCCTCACGAGCAATTTGGTGTATTGCATGAGCTCCTAATCAGTTTTTCGTTGAACAAAGTTTCCAATTTTCTGGTTTCCAACTGGTGGTCAGGACAGAAAACTGGATCTGGAAGCTACAATATAAAAACGTACACCATAAACTCGATGTCTAATGAAAGAGGAGATCCTCACGAGCAATTTGGTGTATCGCATGAGCTCCTAATCAGTTTTTCGTTGAACAAAGTTTCCAATTTTCTGGTTTCCAACTGGTGGTCAGGACAGAAAACTGGATCTGGAAGCTACAATATAAAAACGTACACCATAAACTCGATGTCTAATGAAAGAGGAGATCCTCACGAGCAATTTGGTGTATTGCATGAGCTCCTAATCAGTTTTTCGTTGAACAAAGTTTCCAATTTTCTGGTTTCCAACTGGTGGTCAGGACAGAAAACTGGATCTGGAAGCTACAATATAAAAACGTACACCATAAACTCGATGTCTAATGAAAGAGGAGATCCTCACGAGCAATTTGGTGTATCGCATGAGCTCCTAATCAGTTTTTCGTTGAACAAAGTTTCCAATTTTCTGGTTTCCAACTGGTGGTCAGGACAGAAAACTGGATCTGGAAGCTACAATATAAAAACGTACACCATAAACTCGATGTCTAATGAAAGAGGAGATCCTCACGAGCAATTTGGTGTATTGCATGAGCTCCTAATCAGTTTTTCGTTGAACAAAGTTTCCAATTTTCTGGTTTCCAACTGGTGGTCAGGACAGAAAACTGGATCTGGAAGCTACAATATAAAAACGTACACCATAAACTCGATGTCTAATGAAAGAGGAGATCCTCACGAGCAATTTGGTGTATCGCATGAGCTCCTAATCAGTTTTTCGTTGAACAAAGTTTCCAATTTTCTGGTTTCCAACTGGTGGTCAGGACAGAAAACTGGATCTGGAAGCTACAATATAAAAACGTACACCATAAACTCGATGTCTAATGAAAGAGGAGATCCTCACGAGCAATTTGGTGTATCGCATGAGCTCCTAATCAGTTTTTCGTTGAACAAAGTTTCCAATTTTCTGGTTTCCAACTGGTGGTCAGGACAGAAAACTGGATCTGGAAGCTACAATATAAAAACGTACACCATAAACTCGATGTCTAATGAAAGAGGAGATCCTCACGAGCAATTTGGTGTATCGCATGAGCTCCTAATCAGTTTTTCGTTGAACAAAGTTTCCAATTTTCTGGTTTCCAACTGGTGGTCAGGACAGAAAACTGGATCTGGAAGCTACAATATAAAAACGTACACCATAAACTCGATGTCTAATGAAAGAGGAGATCCTCACGAGCAATTTGGTGTATCGCATGAGCTCCTAATCAGTTTTTCGTTGAACAAAGTTTCCAATTTTCTGGTTTCCAACTGGTGGTCAGGACAGAAAACTGGATCTGGAAGCTACAATATAAAAACGTACACCATAAACTCGATGTCTAATGAAAGAGGAGATCCTCACGAGCAATTTGGTGTATTGCATGAGCTCCTAATCAGTTTTTCGTTGAACAAAGTTTCCAATTTTCTGGTTTCCAACTGGTGGTCAGTACAGATAACTGGATCTGGAAGCTACAATATAAAAACGTACACCATAAACTCAATGTCTAATGAAAGAGGAGATCCTCACGAGCAATTTAGTGTATCGCATGAGCTCCTAATCAGTTTTTCGTTGAACAAAGATACAAAAATTCTGCATTCCAACTGGTGGTAAGGACAGAAAACTGGATCTGGAAGCTACAATATAAAAACGTACACCATAAACTCGATGTCTAATGAAAGAGGAGATCCTCACGAGCAATTTGGTGTATCGCATGAGCTCCTAATCAGTTTTTCGTTGAACAAA